TTACCGGCATTTGTCAAAATGCCATTCTGCGGCGTGTGTTCCTCACAAGTGAACGGAATGGCGGTCGTCAGCTTTTTAATTTTTTTTATTATTTCTATTTATTTTTTATTGTTTTATTTTTTATTTTGTCGACTCGTCTCAGTTCTAAGGGCATGTGGCCTGGTATGGGAGGGAGGGGGGTCCGCTCGCTCATCCCGCCTCTTTCTGGCCCTGCCAGTCCTGTGCTCGGATCAATGGTCTGGTATGGAAGTTTAGGGGGGACCCCATGGTTTTTTTCCAGCATTTTTGGGGGTGGGGTTCCTCCTCAAAATTCCTACCAGACCTTCAGGGCCTGGTATGACTTTGAGGGGGAACCCTACACACTTTTTTTGTGTGTTTTTTTTTACATAGGGGCCCTCTTAAAATTCCTACCAGACCTTAAGGGTCTGGTATGACTTTTGGGGGAAACCCCATGCTTTTTTTTAATGGGGTCCCTCCTACATTGCTACCAGACCTAAAGGGTCTGGTATTGTTTGGGAGGCTTTAAAAAAAAAATCATTTTTTTTCTTTAGAAATTTAATTTGTGCTGCAGCAGGTTCTACCCAGATAGCAAGCAATTGAGCTGCAAGTTTGAAAATGACTTGCTAAACTATTGCAGACTTGCCAAGCTTCACAATTTTGTTGCACAATTACAGCAAGTCTGCATTGCAAGTCTCCAGACCAGCGAGCTTGCAGAGCTCTTGCTAAGACCTGCAGAACTCTTGCTATAGACTTGCCAAGCAAATTTGTTACAAATTCAAAAAGTGTCAACTAGAACTTGTGCTGCAAGTGCTCTGCAAGTCTACAACTTGCAAGGAATGTGTGCAGCAAGTTAACAAAAATTACAATTTCACCCTGCCACAAGTTTGTAGCAAGTTATTCTTGCTATCTGGGTATACGTCGTACAGATGCGCCACTTTACAAGAAGGTTAAGGGGATCCCCAGGCACGATATTTAAAGGAATTTTTCATTTTTATTGATACCCTTTAAGCAATGTTAGAATTACTGCTCCTTTAAAACTGTATTTTTTAGAAGTTTTTTTCCCATTAATTCCTGTCTTCCAGGGCAGTACCCCGGATCCCCATACACTTTTTATGGCCAATAAATTGCATATAAGACTTCAAAATGGGAACATTTGATTTTTAAAGTTCTACCCCATAGACTTGCATTGAGTTCAAGTTTGAACTTTTCCCATGTTTGAAAGTTCGAATTCGAACCAAACAAAGGGGGTGATTGGCCCATCACTAGTCTGCACATGCTACTGCTGTATGCTGCTATGCTGTATTTTGCCTCTGCTGACATGTAACATGGAAGACAACCTTTCTGTGGATTGTAGATTTTCTGATGTAGAAGAATATTGTTGCAGTACATACTACGTATTTTTGTGGTGTTCTTACTATATTTCTATTCACAAGGTTCCAATTGGAAGATTCCATTCTATTCCTGTTCCAGTGACAACTGTAAGATTTTAGAATGTTAGATTCCCCATCATTTTCTATCCCAGTGACCACCATGAAAAATGGAGATAGCAGAAGCAGAAGATAGCAACCTGACACTTAACACCATATTTAAAACCAAAAAACAAAGTGTTGGCTTTAGATACACTTTAACATCACACTGTTGATGCTCGCTGCAGACAGTCCTGTGTGCTGGACATTAACCTCCCTTTCGGGATAACACATCGCGTTACTTACATGTCCACGATCCCCGTTGTGTCCTCTGGCCGATGCCGGCATCCGGGTTCCATCCCTTGCGAGCGTCTGCGTCGCAGGAGGGCGGAACCAGCTGGAAATTTAAACGTAAAAAAAAGAAACAAAAAAGGAAAAAAAAAGGAAATAATCAGACCGCCAGGGAGGTTAATGAAACCTCCTGCTATGCTAAAGGGGTGCTGTTGGCTGGGATAAGAGCAGATGAATTGCAGACTGGGCCAGGTCAAGCCATTGTGCAGTCTGCAGACCTGGGAATCAATGGGCACTCCCATCTATTATAATTACCAGTGTCACTTCTAAAACAACAAAGACTCCCACTAATACCGCACATGGAGAAAGATTATAATGTATGAATGCTGCAAATTTTATTATGGATTACCTACCAAGCCATACATAGATAAGAAATTCTCCTAAAAAGGGTTTAAAGATGTACATTAAAACACTAAACCCCTATGATAACATTGGTCCATGGACCTGTGCTCCCAAGGGTTAAATAATCTGGTGCCAGAAAACTATATGAAGTGGAAGTGAAAGTGCAAAGACAGCCAAATACAGTTTATATATATATATAGACAAGGAAGAGGGCTTAAAACTGATGTGCAAACAGATTTACAGAATCCAGCCTAAACCTTATATACCATCACACCTACCTATATGACCAAAAGAATGTAGAAGACCCTCAAAATGATTGGGTTCGTGTGTCCCCAGTGAAGGGTTCTGATAATACAACAGCATAGAAAGGCATTTGAGACAATTGTGGACTTTCAACCTTATGGTAACAGTTTTACAAAGGTCTTTTTCTGTTGCAGGATGAATGTGCCCCTGTGTACTAAGCCAACTCCATAAAGACATGGTTTAACCAGTTGGGTGTGGAGGAACTCGAGTGGCCTTTACAGAGACCTGACCTCAACCCCAGTGGTGTATTTATGTATTTGGCTGCCCTAGGGGCAAGCCAAGCTTTGGCCGCCCTCGGCACCTTACTAGCACCCCCCCCTTCATCCGTCCTCCCACCCTCTTCACAAGCAGGCAAGCCGCCCTCCACTCCTACACACAGACGGGCTCCGGCTCTCCCCTCCTCTTCACAACATAGGCGTTTGACTAAGGCCGCCCCCAGAAAGGTGTCGCCCTAGGCAAACGCCTACTTTGCCTCGCGGTAAATACGCCCCTGCTCAACCCTACTGAACACCTTTGGGATGAATTGAAACTCTGATTGTGAGCCAGGTCTTCTGGTCTAACATAAGTACCGGACCTTACCAATTCCCACAGACATTTCCAAATCTTGTGGATTCCCAGAAGAGTGGAGGCTGGTAAAGCGCAAAGAGTCAGGGAGCACTTCCATATTAATACCCATGGTTTTGCCATGGGATGCTTAACAAGTTTATAGAGGTGTGATGGTCAGGTGGCCGAAATATTTTTTTCTATAGTCTAGTCTATAGTTTAGAGGTTCAGGAGCTCCCACAGCAAAAGCTTTTCTGAAACCGACATCGTGTGCAGCTCCTTGTAGTGCCGGCTCTTGTAAATTCTTATTTTTTTATATTTATAATTATGACAGGTACTCTTAAAGCTCCTCCACCCCCATAGTTTCAGCCATGGGTATTGGTGCATCCCTATTTACAGCAATGCAGAATGACACAGGCTGTAGAGGACTATGCATCCCAGCCATACTTTAAACAACAATAGCATTGCTGTATAAAGTACTGCTGAGATTTGTAGTCCTCTATAGAGGACCTGCTATAGAGCACTACTAATACCAGCAGTACTTTATACTGCATGTCCATCAGCTATAAAGGGCTACAAATAATGATATTTTAGTAAATGAATTACCTTCACCTCTTCTGGCTGGTCTTCAACTGTTTTCTGGTCGGGGAGGCTGCAGAAAAACACCCCACTCTGTGTGGGAGACAGCATGCCCGTGTGCTCAGACGGCTGCTCGCTGGGTCCTTACGGCTGAGGGCCCAGCACTGCCCCATAAAATGCCTGCAGGCTTTTTCGTGTCGACAGAACGCTTCAGTATACGGCGGCCGGCGGGCCCCCCCATCCCTGCGCCACGATTGGCGCACTGGCTGTACCGGCGGTAGTTCCACCCCTGGCTGTGGTGAAACTACATATCCCTCATGTCTCTGTCTCTAGGAGTCATGCCTGTTAGAGTCCTGCAATGCCTTATGAGATTTGTAATTTCACCACAGCTGGAGGGCCGAGGTTGCCTACCCCTGTGATCGAGTATTGTATTATGAGTTACTTCCACTGTGACTATCACATTGTGGTCTTTTACGTGTCTTTGTTCCCTTCTCCACAACTGTCATGTGCAGTGTGACCCTAGCCTGGAAAAAAAATTATGCTAATGATTGCCACCTGCCCAGCAACCTGCTGGGATAACAAACTCTGCCACTGCCTGCTGCCTGCCCTGAGCCTGGCAAACTTGGCATCCAGCCGTTCACTAATCCTACCTAGAACCATTCTGCATCCAAAATCCATCTGAGCTCTCTCTCTGGGGAACATTCCAGGTCTGCAAATATAGCACTGTGTTTTAAGTCCTGGGAGCATCCAAGTACCGGTAAGTTTACTAGCTTTAAGTAAAGGAGGCTGCTATACTGAAACAGCATAAAAGTCTCACTATATCCGCAGAACAGGATGTGAACTGGTAAACTTACAACAAGGGAATCCAAGACATGAACATTCAGAAAGAAATCACAGACAGACAGGCCAATATCCAGAGCATGATCAAGTATGGGTTTGAAGCCATAGCCTCACTTTAACCCTTTCACTGCCACTGATGTATGGGCACCACCTGCTTCTTTTGCATGTGATTGAATGAACTTCCAGGTATAAATTGGAATACCATGACTGCGGACAATCAGGACAGGTACCACTAGTTCACTACTATCACCTCGGGTGACCCTGCAAAGTGTAGCTGGGGTCTACATTCTTCAGGCAGGATCCTAACACTGTCTGATCTCTCCCACGTGTGTAAAAAAAAACAGGTATTTTACACACAACAGTTTAATCAAACTGACCTGTGTGCTTTTTCAATCTGATATAAATATAGGGTTGCACATTTATATACAAACAGGATATTTGTTATCTATACTTTTTTTGTATGTGTCTTTTTCTTTAATTATCCTTTACAGCATAGGATTTTTTTGTGTGCATTTGTTCTGCTTTAAAGGGGAAGTATGCTAAGATTAGAATATCCAACAGCTGCCTCTTTCAGGAAATATGCAAGACAGTTTGATGTCAACAGGACACTTTGTACACTGGCTTGTCTGTTTCACTATGGATTCATTCAGCATGATGGTGGCTTTGGTCATTTATTTAATTTCTGGTGGATCGTTCTGCTTGTGCCTGCTCAAGCAGAAATGCCAAGTACTTGAAAAGAAATATTTTGCCCCATTTCTGGATCTAAAGTTCAAAAAGTGTGATGAATTTGAGAAGCTGGATTTCACTGTTGCAGTTCATTGTGACATGGTGGACAATATAAGCAAGACCCTGAAGGAGATACCTGTGGAAACGGACTGGCTTTGCCTGACACTATACCAGGGTGTGGCTGTGCAGGCAGAAGCATTCTCCAAACTCAAAAGCTTGAAAGCACTTTCTATCTCTGGATGTGTGGAGTTCCTGCCAGGGGCTTTCACTGGTCTTTCTCAACTCTCTGTCCTCTGGATAGAATCAGAAACTTTTCGTGTGGACATCACTTTCCATGAGGATACATTTCGTGGTTTAAACTCACTGCAAGAACTAAAACTATCTGGTATAGACTTCTCATCATTTAGCTTTGCAATATTTAACCATTCATTATTTAACCATCTCCCTCAACTGGACCATCTGATACTAAAAAACAACAATGTGACACATCTGTCTAAACTAACAACATCACTAGGAAGATCCAGAAATTTACCCAATTTACGCAAACTTTCAGTAATTGATAACCTTCAGAATCTAACAGAAGAAGATTGTTTTAAATCACCATATCCTGGGACTGATGGACAGATTGCACAGTATGTAGATTTCAATATCAGTTTCCTATATTTGAGTGACAACCAATTCATACAAATAGATAATAATTCTCTGTGCAATTTCCCACACCTAGAGGTGTTTCAATCGATAAAATCTTTCCATGACATTGAACAAATAATCAAGTTGGGTATTAAAACCAGCAAAATTATTTCACTGCCTCTCTTTGAGAACGAGACAATTGCAATTTGCAAATGTGCGTTGCAGTTAAAAGTTGCAGAACTTTGGGTAATAGGAGCTTGCTTAGAGGAAATTGATACTTTCACTGGCTCATGTGAAACCCTAAGAAATTTAGACCTTTCCTATAATTTTATTAAAAGAATCAGCTTTATGCAATTCCAAAGTTTAAGTAACTTACTGTCGCTAAATTTATCAAACAATGCTTTGGAGAATCTAAACATTTGTAAGGATGAATTCACCCCAAGGATGCAATTAGTTTACCTCAATGTATCTAACAACAGGTTAACTAGACTTTATAAAGGACAGTTTGCCTGCTTAGGAAACCTTCAGATCTTGTCCTTAGAAAAGAACAACATTAATATCATTGAGGACTTGGCTCTCGATGGCTTATCTCACTTGGGTGTGTTAAATCTTCAGTATAACACCTTATTCACCATTAGCAATGTTACATTTGCCAATCTGCTTTCATTAACACATCTAAACTTATATGGGAATATGATATATGAACACGGCGCTGTTTTCAAAGATCTTGAGAAACTTCAAGAACTAATGATGACATATGATGTAGACGATTACTATTACTGGTTTAATTATCTTCATTTACCTCTGATACATCTGATGGCAGACACAAAATATATGATACTTGAGAATGAATTTTATTCTGGTTTTTCACAGCTAGAGGTTTTAGAGATGGAGGTATTGAAGATCATGTCAAACTGTTCATCTCAGTATGTGTTTCGTAGTGTTAAAGAGTTGTACCTAGAAAATGTTGTAAATTATGACTGTTTTCTGCCTGAAACACACCCGCTCCTAACATTTATTAATCTTGAAAGATTTCACTACATTGGAAATCCTGACGTTTTTTCAGACACCACACTAAACTCTCTTAAGGATGTACCTTTAAAGTTTCTTTATCTGCAAGATACTGACAGACTCCTTAAATACGGTCAGGTGAATGTTTATAAGATGTTTCAAGGGTTGTCACAGCTCAAAGTTTTACATTTACAGAATTCCGGAATCAATAACTTGGATTCCAAAGACATGTTTATGGATCTACGTCAACTAGAATTTCTGGTCATTGAAAATCAGGACATTGAACAAGTGAATGAAGCTGCTTTTGATTCAATGCCTAATTTGAAGTATATTTATTTTGTGCAAACAACATTTCCTTGTAATTGTAAGTTCAAGGGGCTGTTATCTTGGCTGGAATCTGGCACTAAAGTGTCCATTATCAATTTTCACAATCAGTCATGTCAGATTAACCAAAACACCTCAAATCTGGTTTCCTTCCTTCACAGTAACTGTCACACAGATTTGGATCTGATCATGTTTGCAGTGACCTTTGTGTTCACACTGTTGTTCATGTTTATATCCTTCTGCTATGAAAATATCTGGTGGTATATCCTCTACCTGGTCTACACAGTGAAATGCTGGCTAAACCACAGACACCAGGAAGGAGAGCATTATGAATATGATGTTTTTGTCTCGTACAATGCACACAATGAACTGTGGGTCACCGAGAATCTTCTTCCTTGCCTGGAGCAGACTGGTCCTCCTTTCTTCCGAGTGTGCATCCATAATCGGGATTTTGAGGTCGGAAAAGACATTGTGGAGAACATCATGGACAGCATCTATAGCAGCAGATGGACGGTCTGTGTTATCTCCCGCACTTACCTGCTCAGTAACTGGTGCTCCCTGGAGATGAGGATGGCCACATACAGGCTTTTTGCTGAGAGTAAGGACTCCCTCATCCTGGTGTTCCTTGATGGGATCTCTAGAGAAGAGCTCCAGCATTATAATAGACTGACTAAACTGCTGGACAAGAAGACCTACCTGGACTGGCCAGGTGATGAGAAGGGACAGCAGCTCTTCTGGGCCAGACTACGGAAAGTCATTGCCAAGTCTGGAAGAAAGACTTCACTGAAGAGATACTGAGATGAGAATTACGGAATTTCAGCAGTAATGAGATCTCCAAATATGGAGCAAAGCAGACTGCGGTAAAAGCAGAGCTGTGGCATAGTCATAGCAAACAACCTTACAGACAGCTATAGCTCCACTTCACTCCAGATTTCATAAATCCAACCAGTCTGAGGGACAGAGTAAAAGTTTGCAAAACTCCAATGTCAGCTTATGGATACTTTTTTTGTAAACATTCTTAACAGTTTTACTTTTAGGGTATTTCACTTTAACATTTAGCCATGGCATCATGCAACTCATATCGCTATAAATGTACAAGGCAGCACAAAGAACAATGATGATATGCAAAATAACCCATAGAAATCACTTTAAAGGTATCCCTGATCTACCTACTGTAAGTTGTAATGTGATTGGCTGCTCGCGGCATGGATTTGGGTGTCTGAGATAAAGCCAGAGGTGGTAAACTTTGAATATATAACTCCTGCTAAAGTTCTGTAAATGGCTTTTTAACATATTAATATTTTACTTTTAAACATGATAATTCCTGATTAACTCGGGGGGCTCTTACACTGGTCAAAGCCCAAATGAAATCACAGAAATGGATATGAACTCTTTGTATGACTTTGAAGTAGCAACTTCAATTTTCTAAGCCTTATTCCTGTTGCAGCAGTTGTGCACAGTGAGTAAATATGAATGTGTAGTGCGAGAGGCACCAAAGTTAGACCCAGTGCCCTTAGTAATCAGCACTTAGTGACAGACCTGGTCAGACACACCCTCTCCCTTATTCTATGATACAAGTCACCTGTACTGTGGGTGGTGGCTGTTACAGAGGGCAAGCAGCAGCATTAAATGTTATTTTTGCTTGACATACAATTTTATGATTTTTTTTACATATTATACTGATTACTTGCATATTACTTAGATATTGCACCATTATGTTACATTTCTTTATGTGATCGGCTGATTGTTAGAATGTTTATACTGCGCTTTTCACTAAAATGTTTTTGCTCGGAAGCTGCTTTTATGCTGCACAGCTGTATGACCCCTGAACCAGGCTCATGTATAATGTCCAGGCCCGGATTCCCCACAAGGCCACGGGGCGGCAGGGCGTAGAGGGGCGGCAGCGGTGTCCTTGTGGGGAAGTTGCCCTCTCTACATTCAGTCCTGCTTTGTACAAGCAGGACTAAATGTAGAGTGAGGTAGCCGATTTTTCGTTTACATGTGAAGTCGGCGATGTCGCCGAGATCACATGTAAACAGCCTTCTCCCCTCTCCCCTTCACTTACTTCTCTCCTCTGGTTCCTTCCTCCGCCCTGCAGAGCGGCATGGTTAATACTAACCCTGCCGCTCCGTGTAGACAGTGAGAGAGGGGAGAGCAGTGCTCTTCCTCTCTCACCTGTCACAGGAGTTCCAGCGCAGTGCTGTGCTAGAACTCCTGTATTGGAGGTGACAGGGTCAATAAAGAGGACCTGTCACCTCCAATTGCTATCACAAAGGGGATTGTTTTCTTCTGTGTGATAGCAATAAAGTTAGGTGGAAAAAAAAATGAAATTGATTAAAAAAAACAAAAATTTAAATAAATTAAAAAAAATGAAATAATTAAATAAAAAATTAAAATGGTAATTAAAAAGTAAAAAATAAGAAGAAACAAATTATTAAAAAATAAGAAGATAATTATAAAAAATAAACAATAATAAGATACAAAATTATAA